CCAGGACACCCAGGTCCCTCTCCGCAGAGCTGCTCTCCAGCAGGTCCACCCCAAGCCTGTAATGGTGCATGAGGTTGTTCCTCCCCAGGTGCAGGATCCTGCACTTGCCCTTGTTGAACCTCATCAGGTTCCTCTCTGCCCAGCTTTTCAGCCTGTCCAGGTCACGCTGAATGGCAGCACAGCCTGCCAGTGTATACACCACTCCTAGTTTTGTTTCATCAGCAAACTTGCTGAGGGTACTCTCACATTACAGTCAATCCTTAATTGGACCAACTGTTTAGAATCAAGACATCAATCAATTCACGCATCATAAATTCAGAACAGTATTTTTATTTGGGAAATGTAGAATACTAAAGTACATGATTTCGCAAAATGAATTTTTATACCAGACAGCAGCAGACCAGGGTAAGCAGCAAAATTAAAGTGCAAAAACGTTTTACTACGCTGTAAATCATATGGCGACTACACTACTGCTTTTAGGGAGAGAAATTTTATTCCCTGCCATACACATCACATTGAAGTAAGAAACCAATAGAGGGCATGGAAAAGAAACAGCTAGAAAAATTTAGAACTTCTCTCATTTAATTCACAGCAACTAACCCAAGGGCAATAGCTGGCAAGTGTACTGCCTACAGTTACGGCCCGTGTATGATATGCACCAGACATTTTCTTCAGACACACTGCAATCAATGCGTCAAAAAAACTGACACCACAGTTGGAGGTGTCCCACTATTACAAGATCTTACCACAAAACCGCTTATCCAAAATGACAGATTAGTGCCTAAAGATTTTTGTGAAAGGAAATGAGAATTATCTCCACACAGAAGTAAACAGTCTGAAAAACAACAGTACTACCACAAATACAATAAGATGTTTTCCCTAGCAATGTAAAAATTTTTCCTGTTTTTTTTTTTTTTGAAAAAGAAAATAAGTTGGTATGTAAAATGAGAACAAATTTTTAATTGATGATTAATTAATTCCAGGTTGTTTAGACAAATACAAAGTATAAGAGTGGGCATTTAATTAGCATTACAAGTATGCTACTTACGCGCTTACAGAGGCAGTTACAGATTTCTGTGATTTTGAACCAGTTATTTGCTCCACAAAGTTTATAGATGTTTGGACACGTGTCTGCAGAGCAAAGACAGCTTTTGGACAAGTGATGCAGGCCATGCAGGTGATACGAACATCACACAGCAAATAGTTGCATTGGAAAGGCAATCGAATTTCTAGGAATCTCAGAACTTGTCAGTAAGGCAAGTAAAAGTGTTTATTAACAGTCCATGACTAAGTCTGACTCAGAATCCCCCTCTAACTCTTGGCTATGTTGCTCTGTTCCACATCACCACTTTTACAGAATCACAGAATGGTAGGGGCTGGAAGGGACCTCTGTGGGTCATCTAGTACAACCCTCCTGCCGAAGCAGGGTCACCTACAGCAGGCTGCACAGGACCGCGTCCAGGTGGGTCTTAAATATCTCCAGAGAAGGAGACTCCACAGCCTCCCTGGGCAACCTGTTCCAGTGCTCCGTCACCCTCAGAGGGAAGAAGTTCTTCCTCATGTTCAGACGGAACTTCCTCTGCTTCAGTTTGTGCCCATTGCCCCTTGTCCTGTCACTGGGCACCACTGAAAAGAGCTTGGCCCCATCCTCCTGACACCCACCCTTCAGATATTTGTAAGCATTTATAAGGTCCCCTCGCAGCCTTCTCTTCTTCAGGCTGAACAAGCCCAGCTCCCTCAGCTTCTCCTCGTAGCAGAGATGTTCCAGTCCCCTCATCATCCTTGTAGCCCTGTCAAAATTTCCCTGTTCCTATCACAGTCATTCTGCACTTTCATATGACTAACTGTACAATCATTAAATAAACCCTACAGAAGAATTTTCAGGGAGTTCCAGGGCTTTAGGGTTCAGATGTACCAACTATATGTAATATTTGGGGAATTCTCAAATAGGCATTCATAACTCTCAGCAAAAAGACACTTCTATTCAATTTTTCCTTTCTCATAAGTTCATATTAGACTGTGCCAGAGAAAAAGAAATCTATCAAGATTCTATAAAACTAACTTTTAGTAGCTTACTGCATCTCAAATTGAATATATTCTGCACATTACTTTGCAAAAACTTTACGGACACAGAGGAGGGAATTCTGCAAGCATACCAAGACAAGTAAACTTAGAAGTCTTAACACTTGTTATAGCCAATGAAGACCTGCATAATGCCATCAAAGACACCGAGTGTGATTCAGCTCATCACAAATTAGCTCAAATAAATTGCTCTCCAAGCTCCATTAACACTACAGATTAGCTCTTCACAGGATCACAACAGGAGTTCAGGAGTTAAGATGTTGGCACTTAACATAAGGCACCTGGGACCTGAGGATAGAAATTCCATCCTCAGTTTCCTAACTGATGTTAAGCGAAGAACTGAACTACAGCTCAGTGCATGAAAAATACTGTTTTGAAACAATTTTCAATCTAGTATGAGAAAACAAAAGGGGAATAAGGGATTAAGAAAAGCACTTCCTACCTGAAAAGGCATGCTAAACAGCTCAAAAAAATTTTTTAAATTATGGGAGTTACATAAATTAAATAAATGCCTTTTATGCTTTTAAAGTAGTAACGTATCTCCTTTTCCTGTGAAACCTTAAAAAAAAGTGAAGCTCTAAAAAGGTACAGGACATCAGAAATGCTAAAAACAAACAAACAAAAAAGAAACCTTATAAATGAAGGGAAAAAAAACATTTACAACAAAATAGGTATGCCTCTCTGTGTTGGTTTCTGTCCTACCTTCCATCCCAAGAGAAAGAGCAACGACACACAATACACCTTCCCTGTAAGGCTGTTAAAATTCCATACACTCACCTCAGAATTACTCCAGAAGTGTTCCTTTAAAACCAGACTTCCTACATTTATAACACAACATAGACTAGATTTCGAGGCAATTAGCAAAACAACAATCTGAGCATGTTTTAACTTTAAAATTTCCCCATTTCAAATTGTCAGTCAAAATGACAGGAAAGTTCAGGGCTAGCTGTTTTCACTTACAACTAAACGCCACGGACAGTGCCTTTCTCTCCTCCTTCCCATCCCTCTGCCTTTTTGATATAGCAAAAATATATGTAAAAAACCCTTTCCTGTTAGGAGACCTCCTACTCTCATGACCTTGCATCACAGTTATGCAATCAAAATTGTATACTGAAATAGGTAAGACAAAAATACATTTAACAAAATATCCCAAAGCCCTGAAAATATAATCTCTACCTCTAGTTTTTACACAATGTGACTCATTATTTAGGTATCTGTAGTCCATGTATGTCCTGTCCTGTAGCTGCATATATTTGCTTCACCAAATTACAAGATTCATGTTTCACCAATAAAACGGATTCATGTAGTGTTACAAAAAATTTACCTGCCAGAGTTCAAAGGCTTCTTTTTTTTTTTTGAAGAAAGCAAGTCAAAATTTTATTAAAAGCAAAGCATATGTTTTCCTCCCACAAAGAGAATGAACGTATTACCTTCATGCACTGTTATGCCACAGTTGTCACACTGGATAATTTCATCAGCATCTTCACTGTTATCTCCAAGACAAACGCAACAAATCAAAATATGGTCCATTTTCTGGGAACTCCAATTTTGAGACTTCTCAAGGATCAATGAGTCCTAACATTGAAAAATGAAGACATGTGGATTATGCCAGGAAGTTCAATTTTATTTAAAACAAACAAAAGATCTGTTATTTGCTCAATTTTGAACAACAAACAAAAAAAGATGGAAAAATATTTTCGTAAGAACAAAAGCTTCTGCTGTCAAAACATTTAAACTCTTCATCCACAAATATAGGAGCTGGGAGAAAGGATGGATACAATCTGATCTCAATATACCTAGAGACCTGTTAAGATCCAGAGGCCTGACAAGGGTCTTCTTTCCTGAGACAGAAACATGTATGTCTTTAAACCCTTTATGTTCTACAAAAAGCAACAAATACACACACCTAAGAAACCATTTAAAAGCAAAAAAAACCCCACCAAGGGCAAAGGTGGTCTTCAAATGTCCCAGTATTCAGACAAGTTGCCTCATTTTGTTAAAATTTGCACCTTCCAGAAAAAAAAGTCACATGGATCTGAAAAATCTGAAAATAAACACCTAACACAAGCCTGACAAGTTTTCATTTACGTGAAATACAACAAATTATCAACTCATTTTTATTTTGTTGTATTGCAAATGTATATGTCTCTGTGTAAAACCATACGATTTACTAAAGCTGTAGCAACTAGTTTTCTTCTGATTATATACAGGAATAACGATTTGCAGAACAAGTACATGGCTCTGTTTTGGCAAACTTAAATGTGAACCACACCATTTAAAAAGAATTTGGCTTTTAATAGGGAATTTCTCTAAGGAAACACAGAGAAGAGTTTCACAAACCAAATAAAGCTGTAGGTAAATTTTAATTTTTTCATAAACACCATCTAGGCTTCTTATTATTTTCATTGTGAGCAACAGACATTGTCTCTTCTGCAAAGTTTCATGGCTTCCATACATTTATTTTTATACTAAAAGCAAACACTGAGCTTGAATATTTTCATTGGTGATATGAAGACATATAGGGAAGCGTGAAATTAGGCATACTAGTAAAAAAAAATTATTGTGGGATAAAGAAATAGTAACTGTTTCAGAGCAGAGGCTGACAGTTCAAGCCTAAATGGCATCCAGTGAAAACACTAGAGATCTGAAAATATTCCAAAACAGCTGTGGCATTCACAGCAAGGTAGGGCCGAAGGTGCCCTCTCAAACATCTTTTTCTCATTCCAAAGCCCCATTTATGACATAAAACACAGCACCAATACTGTGCCTGTGTAGCCTAAGCAGACAAAAAGTCTCATGAATGCTACCTGAAGTAGGTATTCTGCCTCAAGGATCTTAAAATTCTCACACTAATCTATGCAATTATTTCACAACAGCTTCTCAATCTGATACAGTAAATCTCTGCACAAAATTTTCAGTGAATCATTAAAGAAGTCTCATAGTAATTTAGGTTTATCTGGGCAGGTAACTGGAGTGTAAAGAGGGGGAACCTTTGCCCGACTTTAAAGCAAGATTAAGGGGTATAGTAACCTTATCACCTAAAGCTGGGCTCAAATAGTTTACCGCAAGTAATAAAGGTGGCTTGTTGTGATGCTTTTGACCTAGGAAAGGTCAAACACATACTTTGAGCAGTTAAGAAAGGCTTCTGGATCTCCCATTCATTTTCTCTAAACAATGTAAGGAAACATGACCTCTCAAAAAAAAAAAACCACTCCTCATCTAGAGGTAAAAAAGATTATAAAACCACTCACACGGTCACTCTTGCTTACAGGAATATCATTAATTGTGAAAAATACAAGATTCTCCCCTACAGAGTTCAGATTTAGAGGCTGCTTCTTCCAGCATCTTCCTTTTAGGACAAAGCTGCAAAGCATTTTGAGGAAAGCAAGAAACTTACACATTTTTTTCAAAAATGCTGTGGCCCATCATTATTCAAATTACCCACATTTAGCTTACCATTCACATTACAGACAGGAAAATGGTAGTAGCTACTCCTTAACTTTGGCAGAATGATTGTGCAATGGCACAAGCTTCTCAGACGCATCTCGCAACTCTACAGAAATAATTTTTTCTGACAGTACCTTTGACTTAAGCAAGTTATTTGGCTTCAATTAACAGAAGTTTGTAAGAAATTTGCAATCTCTACTGTTACAGAAGCCCAAGGTCTGATAATTAAAAAAAGAGAAGAAAAAAAAACCCACAAAAAAACCAAAACCCCAAATTATTACCTTAAAAGAAATAAACAGAACTGCTCTGTAAAAACAACACTGAAATAACAATAGCTGTTTAGGCAGTGAGAACATATGCAAATATGGGTTAAAAAAAAAAGAAACAAGCAATGACGGAAGGGCAGCAAATTTGGATCTAATGTTAGGATCCCCACCCATTATGGTCTACCTTATGTGAAGACAACCAACAGGTCAAACAGAGCAGCAGAATGACTTAATTTTCTACGCAGACATGGAGAGGGAGCGATCCGGTGTGTATGCTGCTCTCCCCTGCTTAGTTCATGCAAGCACCTGAAAGACCCCATCCCATAAGCTGACCCTACTTGCCTAAAGCATAGGAACTTTACATTGTAGAGAGGGTAGCTGCTGCCAGCTCCTGAATAAGTCCTGTTCCCTACCAGAGAGAGAGAAAGGATTTCAGCTGAATCACTGTGTAATTCCCATTTCTGTGGTGTTAATGAAGAAAGCGAGCATTTCAAGCTATATGCTTTTATACTTCTAACTTTAAAGGAATACAATAAAATAAAATAGAACAGAAGAATCCCATAAAACGGTAGCAATTATAAAAACAGAAAAGCACTATTTACTACTAATGATGCCTGACCCTAGAAAAGAAAGTTCTGTTTGTCTTCTGTGCTTAATACAGTAGAAAAGCACATAGTATTTCATTACAGCACAGGTAAAAATACTGTCTATCCAGACCTCAAAATATTTTCATAAAATGTTGAAAAACAAAAATCACACAGAAACAGAACCCAAGCAATCCACCCCCAAAAAGTAAGTAAAGGAACAATGCATATTAAGGACACTACTACATGTTCAGGGTTAACTACCTGAACATTCTTTCATAAATTAATTATGCATTCAGACATCTGTTTTTAAGAACTTTGCTTCTGCAGTGTAAGAGTATACCGTTATAAAGTGGAAATTATGGACATATTCAAGAATATACCCCTAAGAATGTAGACTCACATCTCCAACTTGATAGGGGAAACAACTTCAACAGAAAATTGCCTATCTCTGTTTGAAGTTCTGATGATCAGTACTGGTAGAGCACTTTCAGCTCCTGAGCCAAGAGAATACAGGTAACAACACTACAATTACAGAGCTAGACAATGAAAGATGCTGCCTATACAACAGGTGAAAAAAAAAATGCTTTTTTTTTCAAGCACAATTGTTACTAGTAATTAAAACAGCACAGCTCGTTTGCAATCTTACATATATAAAATACATAACAAACTATCTGAAATGGAGACAACTAATTCTTCCAAATACTCTGTTTAGTTCCCTCTCTTTTGACACATTAAAATAAAGATTAAATGTAACAGCAGAACTTAAAATAGTGCCACACCACTAGCATTTATCAAATGTTATGCTGACATTGCAATTATTTCCTGAAAATTGAACGTAAATTTTACAGCAACTGTTTTTACTTGGTTCAAAATTTTGCTACTGAAAGACATGAAGTCAACCATCCTGACAACCTAATATCTGAATTTTTCCACCCGCACAACCTTTAGGGAAATGTAATTGTGCACAGGAAGAAAAAGCTGCATTAAACACTTAATGTATAATTTTCCCATTCTGCAGTTCGAAGATATTTAACATAACAATATAGTTCCCAAATGCTTTTAGTACTGTGAGGAATTACTTCATTTGTGAGCATTATAAGCAAACCCAACATAAATTGTCATGCTTATCCTATTTGACTTTAAACCCAGTGTGCGTATTTCTTTACTTAGAATTCTTCTATCAGTGAACTTAGTGTTCAGACTTTGATGTTTGTCACAAAGAAGGGCTAGGATAAAGAATAACTTATCATTCATTATTTTATGTACATGTCACAGATGCTTTTAACTTTTAGAACTTTACAGATATGCAACTTTTATGCTAAAACAGAACTAAAAGTCTTGCTAATACATGTTGATTTGCATACTGCACCTCCTATTTGCTTTAGAACTAATCTAACGCCCCCTAGAGCCAAGAGAAGTTTCTCTATTGACCGCAGTGACATTAGATTGGCCAAATGATCCAAGCCAGGTTATTTAATACACAGTGCCTATTCAGCACAATTTTGCTGCTTCGCTTATTCCTGTAAACACAATTCCAGCCAATCAGTTTAACTTTTCAAATCAACAGAATAGCTACTGGGGAGTAGTTTCCACTTGTCAACAGATACATTATAGAAAGTTGGTTGCACTACCTCATTACTCTTGCTTTGTGAAAGAGCCAGGCTATCATTTGTCAATTCCTCATCATCTGCATTATTCCTGTTAAGAACTTTACTCTTCTTCTTCTTGGATCCTCCATCACTAGCCGTGCTGCTATTATCTTCTTCATTACCTTCCTCATCATTGTCATCCTCATCACTTCCACTCCCATCATCTTCATCATCCTCATTATCTCCATCACTGCCCTCTTTTCGCAGTGCGTTTTTTCCTTTTTTTTTCTCGGCAGTAGGCCGCCAGTCATTGTCGTCTTCACTATCATAGTCATCCATATCATTTAGTTCTTCCATCGATACAAAATCCAACAAAGGTCGGTTCCTGCGCAAATTCCATTTTTTTGGTTCATTTGTTTGCTCATCAGCCACAGCATCAGGTTCAGCTGCTTTCTCTTTCTCTTTCTTCTTTTTTGGCTTTTCTTCTTCATCTTCTTGCTCTTTCTTTTCAGTTTTAATTACCTCTTTGTCTGCTGTTGGCACCTCTTCTTCAGCGGAGCTTTTTGGCTGTTGCTCTTCCACTTTCACTTCTGCTAGTTCCTCCTCCAAGACATTTTCTTCTGATTCAGTACAGGAACCTTCACCACTGTCCTTTGATGCATCTTCACTCCCGTGACCACTTCCTTCAGAATCTGTTGAGCAGATGAAAATTTAAAAAAAATTCCGACACAAATGTACCCCCAAAAATAAAATCTGTTGAAGCAAGTTGTTAAACAAAAGAATGACGCATGTTCCTCCCTCATAAGGTATTCCACCTATTTTTTCAGCTGGTGTCCAAATACTGCTATTTCAAGTGGTATGTCGAGAATCTGTTAAACATGAGTGCATTTTAAGATGGAAAAAAAAAGATGGCAGAATTTATTAAATGAACTCTAAATGTTCCTTTGAACTGCAGCTCATATAACAGTAAGCAGTAGCACAGAATAATTTCCATGTGAAGTCAACTCTTAAAAGAACATTCCAGTTTTTAATTTCTGGAGGCGTTTTCTAAATCTTCAAATTAAAATGGCTACCCAATAGAAAAGATTGAAAATTACAAAATGAACAGTTTACATAACAAGTACTAACAATAGTATGGATAATCCCACCTTCATTTTTAGTACAGGTTTATTTTTCTGGGTTTGGGGGCTCTTTTAATTTGCAATGTTATTTCCCTTATCCCACATATGCTATGCCTCATTCAGTGTTGCAGCTGCACAACAGTGCATAAGTTCTAACCTTCTCTCACTCCTATGGTATTGTTCTGCATGTAGTCATTATTTCCATTAATTAACACAGGCCATTCTGTGCAACAGACAGGAACAGAAGAGGATTGGTACAAAAAAAAAAAAAAAAAAAAATCACAAAAAAAAGAAATCTGTACTATAAAGTACATGTAAAACTTATTGAAAAAGATGACAAGTTGTTAAATTTAAAAATCATCCACTCTGACTATCTCTCATCTTATGTTCACCTACTACTTTTCATTTAAAGTATTAGTTTAAAAGAAACAAATCTCTGAAAGTATTTTTAAAAATTAACAACAAAATATAAAGTTGCTTGATCCAATGCAGGGATCAATTACGTAATGGCTACAGTTTTTGAGTTTGTTCAGAGCCACCACCAAGTTCCTGATGCGCTGTCACACAGATGCAAAGAAGAAACATGCTGATGCTTGCAAATTAAAAAAAATCCTTAATCACTTTAGCTACCTGGAGCACGGTGATTTGCTACTTCGTAGCGAGTGGAGCATCAGGCAGCCAGCTGAGCATCGGGCAGTCAGATAACTGCACTCCGTATACTCCTTTTAGGTGTATTATTGTTGTTATTTTCTTCCCCTTTTGCTGTTCTGTTGAACCGTTTTTATCCCAACCCCTGAGTTTTGCCTTTTCCTTTGATTCTCCTCCCTATCTCATCATGGGGGAGGAGTGAGAGACCGACCACGTGGTTTTATGTTGCCAGCTGGGGCTAAACCACAACATTAGACTCCTTGTGAATTTAAGGTTCCACTTTGTTTTGCGGGGAAACTTAGGGCATAGTTTGATCTCTAACAACACTCTAAATTAACAACAGTGATTCTTGTACATCAATACTACAATGCTGAGGATACTCTCCAGCTGCTTTACGCCATGCAAACAAAACAATATAAAGCAGAGAACAAATAAACGTTCATTTCATTCACTTCTCTCCTCCAAACTCTCTTTGCCTTCTGCCTGCACATTATGCTTTGTGCTCTCCTTTCTGCACACATGTACACACCAGAGCTACCTATAGTAAGGGATATCCCTCTTCTGTCTGAATGCATCCACCGTGATCGGTACTTTTCTAGAAAGAGCTATTCTGTGATAACAGCCATTTTCGCAGGTGTTCTTCTGTCAGATTCACTTTCAGTTAGGAAGAGGCTGTAGTATACAATTTTCTCCTTGAAAGAAATTTTACAGAATGGCTCTTTCAAATTGGCATCCATATCATGTCATTCCCTATGTGAGAGAAGTCAAGTTACTCTCAGTGAAAGATAGGGCCAGATACACTGTCAAATAGTGAAGAATATAGAGTTTCACTGAGAACAAATACAAGGAATAACAGTTGTGAGAAAGGCATCATTTATTTCTGTACACCTTGTATCTTTAGCTCTACTGAGCACAACACCAGGTGGCAGTCAAATCTGAAGTGGGTATCTCTGAGAGGAATTCTCCGGGACAGAACATTATGCTACAGAATTAACGTAAGAAAAAACTACCAAAATCACTGCAGCAGTTAAAAAAATCTTCCCAGGGTTTTGCAGGACCATCTTACAAGCAACTTTAAACATGGTACCCTTTTTTTTTTTTTTTTAAAGATTCTTAGAAAATGCATGTATACAGAGAGTAAGCGCTACAGTACAAAAGTACATGGCCACCCACTCACAGAAGACAGGCTGATTCTTCAATGTAGTATTTAGCTTAACAAGCAGCTCTGCAAAAAACAGCCTTATTTCTCATTTTTAAGTGAAGTCTGAAGGATAAGTTAGTTAAAGGAAATCACAGACTTGGTTTTGGGCTTGCCTCTTTCACTAACAAAGCCTAACCAACCCCAGGCAGCAGAAGAGAAGCAATCTGGCATCATTTTGGAAAGTTCTTTTTTTTTCTGCACTGAGTACTGTCTGGTTGAGTCTTACACCCAGGTGTTGAAAGCTACATACGAAGAATCCAATCCAGGATTCTGGAACACTGAAAGGAGTGAAAAACTTGAAAAACTGAGCATGCAATACAGAACACTGAAGTTATTCCTACTAAATAATATTGTTCAGTAGTAATCCACAGGAATCACGTGCGACGTCAGCCATCCAGCCCACAGTGTGCTTCATGATACCCTCTTTTCAAGGGTGGTAACAAAAAACAGGCTACAGGTGAGGTTAATGCTTTTGGAGGTTAAAGTCAGTTGATCACCATCACCCTGTCTAGTGGTCCCTTAGCCTTTTTCTCCTAATCACACAGCAGACATCTCTGACATGATGACATGAAATTACCCAGGTATCTCTGCTAAAACACCGTGTTACACACCATGTACAATCCCTTACCCAGGTTGCCTGCATCCTGACAGACGAGGAAAGTGGAAAGCACTGCAAAAAGCGTTTGTTGACAGCAGCTTCTGCCCATAAACTTCCTTACAAGAACAGCTCCAGAGTCACAAAAACTCCTTTGCACGTGCTATACCAAACATGTAAAAGCATATGTATTTCCTATACATCTGATGTAGAAATTGCAAATAAATTTAAAGATTCAAAAATACCTTAAGGAAATGCTTACACTAACTAGAAAGTTCTCATATTAATAGCTGGATGTAAAAATAAGCTAAGGAAACCTAGATCATATATGGAAAATATGAACTTTTAAATTGCCAAAGGCAGAGTTGCGTAACTGGTAAATTCCTGGCCACACTTGTCCATTAGATTAAAGCCACAGAGGTCCACTATGCTACGACCAATGTAACTATACTGAAAGCAAGAACTGAAAAGGCTTAACACCTCACTTTCAACATAACTTCAACAAGGATCTGGCATCAGTTAGACATAAACCACTGCCTTTCTATGCTGTTTTGCTGAGCACGATGATTAAACACGGGTAGGCTACTGGAAATTCAACACTGGTAAAGCTGGCAGCTAAACAAAAAATGGAGTTGTCAAAAGTAAAACAATTAAGAACATACAAAACCAACATAGATTAAGATACTGCTCTAAGGAGAGAAATTCACTTCTCAAATAATGTTTTGGAAAAAAGTGTCTAAATTCCATATTCAAAATCTGTGTACACTGGGCAGCGTAGGAAATGAAACTGATCACCGAACCACAATCACACTTGTTTCAGAAGCTATTTAGTTTAATAGAAAAACCAATGGAAGAGGAACAAATGAAAGTTGTTTATAAGGCAGTTTCCTCACTTCTACATTAGCAGTAATTGTATCACACAGCATTTCAGTAGATGTCTACTCAAGTCATAAAAGCACTCAAAACTAAAGGCTGCCAACTTTGACTTGAGTCATTGGGAATTGTCTTATTTACAATGTTACACACAGATGGAATTGATTACCCTGCCTCCTGAATTTGCTTAATGTTTCCCAGTTTCAGACACTGTTCTCAACAGTTCTTAACATTTTCAAACTTTGCTTGTTTGCGATGAAGCACTGCATGCCTCATGACTTCCCTCAGCGAAGTTACAGACTTGAATAATCCATACAATTGGATTCCAATACAAATTACTGAATAGTGAGCAAGAATAGATATTTTTCCCAGAAACACCTAAGAGTCTCACATCTTGTACGAAGGAAGTGACATCTGGGAGACAGCTGAACATCTGTCTGGGACATGCTAAGTCTAAGTCTCAGTCTCTGAAGCACTGTACCAAGCATACGTTCAAGAAACACTTGAAACGTCCCATCCTCACTGAGCACGTCTAGGCTCTCAGAGGTGGCCAGGCTGCAAACAGACAATCTCACTAAGCTGGAGTTAATAAAGCACAGAAGAATCTTCTCCATGTGGCAGGAAATACACAAGAGATGGACATACACACAAAAAAGAGGAGATGCAAGAGAAAGTAATGGAGGAGTAGTAAAGTAGGAGACGATGAAAATCCTGTTCAAGACTGTCTGAACAAGCAGAACAACAATGAACTGATGAGCAAGGGTTCCGTAGGGGACAGACAGACTGGAAAGACGAGGCACAGAGAGTCACAATAGGAGGAAAACAAAGAAAAATAAATGTCACCCCATCACTAAATCCACCCTGCCCAGACACTGGAATGAAAGCCTAGATTTCCGTTACATTACTCCTCTGCTGTCAGTAAACACATGGAGTAACAGAAATCTCAGTGTTTCCAAAGTGAATGCAAGTTCAAAATGCCCACCAGTCGCTCCATAGTGTTACTTCAAGCAGCAGACATCTGTACAAATAAAAGATCTCACTTGGGATGACAATAATCCAAATGAACATAATGCCCGTATTTTCCTTTTTCTCAATGGGAAAAAGCCCTTGGGAATTCCATTCTGAGGGATTACACACTACAGCTGCAAAATCAAGCCTTGAAATGACTGTAACAATTAAGATTATGCAATTACATGAGAATTTACTACTGATTAGCTACTGAATATTTTCTCTTACTTTCACTGTCTGCTGAAACACCCTACAACCTTTCTGTTGCATACCATTTAAATTTATTCTCAAAAACAAATATATTGGTCTCTTCATCAATATTTCAGTAGTGTTTATCACTACAGTATTTTGGTGCTTCACAAACATTTCTTTATACTACAGTATCCTGTAGAGGAAAGCAAAAGTGGAGTCTCCATTGTGCTAAGAGGAAACGAATTACAGAAAGATAAAGATATTTGCAACTTTTCACTTCTAGATCAAATCACAGGTTTTTCAGAATACCTAATATATGCATTTATATACATTATTACACATTTTAAACAGAGCTCCTACCATCCTAAATTGCAGTAATAGTACGTAATATTTATGCAAGTCAGGCTCTGTGTTCAACACCAAAAAACCAAACATTTACAAATGTCTTTAAAAATTTGAGTCTAGGAGACTTGCAGCAGAAGTAGTGACAGAATCCAGTTCTTCAAGGCAGCATTCAGCTATGCTATTCTTAGCTAAACTCAGACAGAGAGCCAGTACTCAAATTCACACATCATTCTTGTTCAGGGACCATACTACACTTCTCTGTATCATTTCAGTTGCAGTATATGAGCTGCCAAAACTGAACAACTTCACCAATGAGAGAGAAGAAAAGTAGCAAATCCTTGCTTTGGAGTCCTGCTGGGAATTACTCTACAACTGTACACTGATTTCTGACGTCAGTATATCTCCAGCTGCTCTTATTAAAAAAAAACAACAACAAAAAACCCGAAATATGCTCTAGTTAACTTAAATGCAAAGCTTCAAATCTGTATTGTGAAACACATTATTAAAAAGCTTCAGTTGAGTATAGTAGAGTATCATCATTTCAAGTCACATATTCGTATGCTCTGACTCCAAAGGGACAGGTTTTGACTGATCCCACATTAAGATTCAATATGACACTCCTTCAGGAATAAATTTTTCAAGATGTTTATAAAAACCAGAAAATTACAGTACTTTAAAATATGGCATTACTACTTTGTATTATACAGAAACAGAAGCCATTAAAAAACTACTTCATTCAATATTAACATAATTAAAAGTGCACAGGCCTGAAAGCTATTTACATTCAGTAAATTTACAAAAATATAACAGTTCTAAAATCAGTTTCCCTGAAGAGATGTCAGAATGACGAGAACTTCAAAGGGGAAAAGGCAGTAATTGCCTGTTCGTGTGACCTAAATCCAAAAGAAAAGAAATTAATTACATTGTAAAGGCCATATCTCCTACAGATTTTTTTGGTGGAAATGGAGGTTAAGTGATTAGAAATATTTTCTGTAATGAAAAAAAATTACCAAGGCATCAGGACTCTGAATACAAAAATTCAGAAATGCTGATTCCTTCCTAAAAGTACTTAATACCAACTTCTCATATCCTTACTGCATCTCAGATTCCCAGAAATCTGATAGAACAATGAACACATGTCAAAGCTTAAATGTTCAGGACTCAGCCCTCCTAGTCCTGCACAATACCATCTACTAGTACATATCACTTTACATCCCAAAGCTCATACATATGGATACAACATAACCAGCAGGGAGTAAACAACTTCAGAATTCTTTTAATTCGGTATTTATATGACCCATTAATTGTCAAACTTTTTTTTTTTTTTAAACAGCTACATGTGCATTTGTGAATCAAATAAACACACATTGCCGAGCTGTGGAACTACCATACTTACGGGACTTTTTGGCGTACATGAGTAGAATTCATGGTCGTTTTCAATGTAGATAGATTGTTTCTTCCTTCTGTCACGTTTATTTCCCTTTGTAAGCAAACTATGCTATGAAATTCTGAATTCAAGCAAATACTAAATACTGATTTGCAACAGGCTACACACGGAGAGACCTCAACGGTCATTGAAAGAAGAAAAAGAGCAACAGCCCTGACTGTACTGGAGAAATACACATTATGCTTTGAAGGCTTAACCAACAGTGAAAAAAAAGGAAAACCTGTTTCCTATTAGCAACAATCCAGAATTTTGAGCAGTCTAGTGGGGCTGCTTGTGTGTGTACACACATATTCTTTACATATATATAACTTTAAAATCATCCATTTTATTTATATACATGTACGTGTGTAAAAATGTCCCTTTATTTCAGCGCTTCTTCCATCCAAATCTAAATGGACTAGGTACAACCAAATTTAAGGCTATGTTATACCAGCTTCATTTTAAATGAGTACAAATCTTCTGTTTCAAATATCCTGCAACTGTTGGTTTAAGTTGTATTACATATAACAAACGTTCCCTTTTTCTTTCAACTTAATAGGTTATATGTTTAGTAACTTTCTACTCTCCAACTTCTTCAAACCCTCACAACTTTCTCCTTTCACACTGAAAATCTTTTAATAAAGTGTAAAATGTCAAACTGCTGCTGTTTCAAAGTGTTTTCATTAAATTTTAAATCCTATTAAACAGAACATTAATTTCTACTACAAGCAACAGACGTAAGTTCTGAAATGTGAATACAAAGCTATACGAGATACATGAACACAAAACAGTAATTAGAAAAACATTTTGTAAGTAGACCTTCGGTTTTTCTCATATGCTTGTTTCAATTCAGTGTTGCTTTTTTTAAAGGAAAACCAATCTGACTTCCTCAAAATGAAACTGAGATTGAAATACTCTCAAGGCTAGACGCTGAGCCCTCGCCATGTGTACATACAATATCCTAAAAGTCAAACTGGATATCAGTTGCAAATGAATCCTCTACGTTTAGACACACTTGAGTCAGGAAGCTTTATTCATTATTTTTAATTAATGAATGATTGTCTTTTAATTAAATAATATATTGCTCCGAATTACATGTCCGTCTCCCACACTCCATTTCCAAGTCTCCTTTTCCCTTAAATCCTGCCTACACTACTATTCCAGAACAAGGAGATTTTCTTTGGCAACTAAAAAGAATTTTCTTTTATGTCTTTAAAAAAAAGACAGTGCCCTTAGTGTAAAGAAAAGATCAAAAATCCCCTAAACAAGATTAAAAAAGTGAATGAAACAAGCCCCCAGAAATCTTAGCATGAAATTGGTAAGATGATATCGGTTTTACTCTCTTAAATCATTGCAGCCTGCTTCTACCAGAGCAACCAAGGGAAGTATGTCTAAGCTTGGGGAAAAAAAAAACCAAGGAGCATTAGGGCATATCTTAAAACTGGCAGTGGTGAAATAATCATTAAGCATTTTTAAGTTCATTAATAAGGAGGGGCTTGCCAAATGTTAAAAAATAAGCCTTTAAATGGAGATGGGGAATATATTTGCAAAATACACTCACATGAAAACACAGATTAGCATCCTCAGTGCAGACATAACAAAGTGAAGTTATTTGACAAGCTGTCATAATGCTTCCCTTACATCTTACACGTCTTGCATCTCTTTGCTTATTTCCCTAAGTACAGGTCATGGAACATCCAATGTGCGGTTTATTCACAAACACAGTCCTGCCCCTTCTTTCCCTTCCCTCCTATATGCCTAAATTTATTAATTTTATTTTGGCATCTTGTTTACTTCCAGTTTCTGTGGATGTTCACTGCAGGTACAAGAATCTGCACACACAGAAAACACTGCAGAACAAAACCACTCTCAGGCAAGGACTTCCTTCTAGTATGAAACGTGTACACCTTTCTGCATAGCTAGCTGAATGGACACTTTGTCTATAAGTTTGTCTATTGTACAAAACAATAAAAACCTGAACAAATTCTCTTTCTGCTGAAGGTCTTCACTCACAGAGTGGAATGAGCCTTGAGAAACAGTCAAGTTCTTAAGTCCACAACATACTATTATCCAGACTGATTCAAAACAAAATGGCTTTAGAATATTCTTATTTCAATACTAATGCAGTGAATTTTTTAAAAATTATCTCTACACTGAAGAAATAAAAAGCAATAGATATAGCTAAGGCAGTCGGCACAGCAGCTACTCAAACACTTCTGCCAAAACTTGTTTGATAATCATGAGTTATCTGTTGAGAAAAAATTAATTGCAATTGAAGTACTGTATGGATGTTTTGTTTAATCAGTTGTTTCTTATTCACAGCATAAGAATTCCCAGTTGTCCCACTGAGTCACTGAACTCGAAGTGGCTCGAAGTTCCAACAGTCCACTAACACCATTCTGTCTCCCAGATGATACTAAACGAGCAGCCAGAAACCAAAAATGAGATAATTCTGAACCGAGGAGATGAGGAAGGATATTTACCTGAGGCATCTCCAACTTTAAAATCACTGTCATCAGAGCTATCATAATCTAAAGCTTCCAGCAGCGAAGCTGCCAAAGGCTTCACTTGTCTCCTCTTCGAACTGCGGTCCACTGCAGGAAAAAAAACACACAGCACTGTTACCAGGAGGCATGAAGAGAATTCAGCGTCGTTAAAGGCAGAAGGAAAGGCAGAACGGCCGAGACAGCCTCCGCCA